CACGTTGTTCTGCTGCTGTGTGCGTTGTGTGTCTACAGACTCCATTCGTCCACTGCACATGATAACACGTTACGCTTTTCAGTCAACCAACCAGCATATCTAGAAACGCTACAGACTCCTCTGTATTTATGTCAATTTTTGGGCTCATTGCAGTTACTATCACTGTTTTCTAAAGACGTATTTGTTTTCATGTAATTGTCCACAGGGTCATTGTATTACCTATATAATATAAAATATAAAATCTTGATAATGCACACTTAGATGATTTTCATATGTTTACAAAATGTATTTGCTGTTATTTTATTTTTTATGCATACAAAATGGCAATTGTATTTGTAGTTTTTAATATAAAACTTGCTGAAATGGTTTCAGTATGTGTATCGGTACATTTTTATATTTTGTGGCACATTTTTGCAATACCGTGATCATACTGATAACCAAGATAATTTTGGTCACTATAATCATGATTTTCCAGTCCAGTTCTCTGCTGTTGATCTGTATGTTCAGTATATTCCAAACAATCCTCCATTCACTAATCCTTGGTTAATATGTTAATTCTGGCAGAAAAGTTGTAGCAGTTGTACCTGCTTTCAATCTGAACTACAAAAAAACTAAACATTTTATTTTTGTCTGCTAAAGCATACATATCTGCTCTGTAAATTTCTTGTCCTGCATTTTCCTTTGAGAAAAAAAATCTGAAAACCCAAAAGGATAAATTTATATTTTTTGGTTTCATGACAGCACCCCATATTTTGGCAATAATTCATCAGAATAATGTTAGTACAGTAGATGGACAACTTTTTTCCATACAGCAACATCATAGCAAAGACTAACAGACGGACAGCAGCCTGCCACACAACACAACTTTCAAAAAACAGATGAACTGTTCTGCTAAAGTCTCCTTCCGATCTAACTTACGAACTTGAAGACATCTTGTCCTGCATCTTAGCTCGTAGAACACCTGATAAAACAAAAATTCACTGGGGAAAAGTGTACTGCTAATATCAGTTTGCAGGTTTGACAGCAGATCAGCTGCAGGAGATTAAACAGCGAACGTACCTGCAAATGTCACTTCAGTCCTGTTACATGCTGGTGTGGTCCTTACTCTTCATTACCACTAGCAACATACTTTCTACCCTTGGTTTGTAGGCTATGTAGTGTACCAGCCAGTGTGGGTTTGATTATTTTATTATTTCTCTCTCCCTGAGAGAAAGAGGCGGGGATTGAGAGATCAACCCTCAACAGACAGTCGAAGTACCCCAAAGGAGGGGGTGAAAGGTTTGCTCCACTCCCAAGTGCTGCTTGGGTAGTTTCAGCCAAAAAAACCTACCACCTCGGTGAAGCTGAGATAACAGACTCTATGCATGATGTGTTACCCCGACACTTCCAAGAGACTAACTTTATCCGGAGCCAGCCTATCAGAACCCTTTTGACTAAAGGTCAAGAGACGCTAAACTGCCCCCACACAGGGTAACCATGGTAACAAAGTTCCTCTTTCAGATTGCCTCAGACATCAAAGACCCCCTTCTTCAGTAATGACTCTCTACCCCACCAAAGAGCCATTAATTTGGACTCTTAACATGCCCTCTCCCTCTTACATCTAGGTGTGAGAAACTCCAGATGCCAGAGAAGGACGCTGCCCCGAATTACTTTGTGTGGGGCCAATCCCAGCTGACAGGTCGCCAGTCCATCGCAGGGCCACACATAGACGAACAACCACAGTCACACCTAAGGACAATTTAGAGTCACCAATTAACCTAGTCCGCATGTCTTTGGACAGTGGGAGGAAGCTGGAGCACCCGGAGAGAACCGACGCAGACACAGGGAGAACATGCAAACTCCACACAGAAAGCCCTCATAGAAATGATATGATACAGAAATATTATCATTTGTTAAATTATTAATTTCCCCAGCACCTGAGCAAATGATTGTTTTAAAGAAATAATCAAAGTTATCTCAGTCTCCTCTCATGGGACCAGAGCCCCCCAAGAGGACAAAATAAGTATTACATGTAATGCGTCTCCCGCGGTTTAATGTATCACTCTGTATTTTATTGTGTAATCTGATGCCATGTTCGTGTAACTTGCTTATATTCTCTAAGTAAGAATGTTTAACAGCCAATATTATCCAGGAAAATGTTGAGTTAAGTTTCTTTCATCCTGAAATCCTGAAAATGTGTTTAACAGGTGGGTCCGTTACGCCAGCAGTGATCCCGAGGACATCAAACCGATGAACCAAGTCAGGCTAACGGCCTATCACTGCAAGTTTTCTTCAACCACAAGCCGCCTAGGACGGACCTCCAGGACAAAACCTGCTAGTAAAAAGCCGGTCCTGGCAACCCAGCCACTGAAACTGGACGCCTAGAACTAGTTGTGCGGCCACCCGAACACCATCCGGCTGAGAAACAACAAGTAGTAAGGCTAAAACAAGCTACATTCTGTGGTCGAGTTGATGTCCATTATTAGCTTTAATCCTTAGCCTTTATCTTTAATCCTTAGCCGTTAGTTTAAACCTTTAGCTAAAACTCTAAAAATTTAACTGAGTTATTACCATAACTTGCGTTTATTGGTTCTCTTGCCTCTTTAGACTCCACAATAGACATCATTCTCATTGTTTGCATTCTGTCTGTTTTGTCATTGTTTATTTCTTTGATGTGTATTTAACGGCATTTATTTCACCTTAGTAAGTTAATAAATTTCACCTAAATCACAGGAACTGTGTGTGTGTATTGTTTAACTCCAGGTCACTGTAACGGAGGATATGAGATTGACTGATTGATTAGATTGATTTAAGATAATTAAGCAATCACTACTAACCGAGGAAATAATTGTATAATTATTAAGCTATACTCAAGGTTCCTAAAGCCTTGGGCGGACAGCAGATCTTTAGGTGGTGCCCCAAAAAACGAACGAGTTTTATGATTTAATATTTCCGAATATTAATATTCATAATAATTATTAACAGTAACGTAGGTACACTACAGCTACAACACAAATATGTTTACTTAGCTGCTGTCAATCAAACACAGAGACTGACACACCCCAAAACTTTTATAAAGCAAAAATGGATAACTAAATGTGATTTCAGCTGGACACATTTAAAGCCTCCATGTGGTGAGTTTGTGTTGTGATACACTAAGGATTTCTGGTGAAGTATTCCTTTAAGACTTTTAAGATCTCATGCTGCTGTCCATGGTGCTGATCCTACTTAACACAGAGCAGACACACTCAACTCCTTTGAAATGCACTGATGTTCCTGCTGGTATTTCTGCCAAAGGAGTAACCAAGTACAACCAATCACCGTGCTAACAAGCTATCACCATCATCCACCTGTGTACAGACTGCCACGTTTGTCCGAATCTCTTGCTCGAGAGACAACACCAGCAAATAGAAAATCAAGTTTATCTCTGAATTTAAAATATTAGTATGTGTATATATATATAGTATATACTATAAATTATAGTCTAACTTACACTATATTTTTAAATTGCAAAGCTGTGGCATTACTGTTTAGCAAAGAGCTAATGACCAGGCTTTAACTATTTAATCTTTAATGTATCAATGCTATGAGATGAATTTCCAATGTTTGACTGGCCACAATCATGCTGGTTTGATTTGAGCACCTTGAGCCTTGTGTTTCCTTCTTTTTGCAATATCAATTTAACCTCAACATCAGAGAAAATAAAGTTAATTTGGGATCTATCTATCAATATTTTACACACTTTCTATTTTGAAATTAAAATTCATAATACATATTTCATGCTTGTATGACCTTTTAGAAATCATTATCCATATATCATGGTTTTCTGCCTGCATAAACTGCCAATGCAGTTGCATTCTGCAGCTGTTGGGGAACATCATTTTGTTATAATGGTGCCATCCACATTTTAATGCATTTCTGTATTATACACTGGTCATGCCTATAACAACCTTCCTGGACCACCTCTCTGACTGAATAATACATGACCAGAAAGACACACACAGCCTCATCCAATAAACACATTTCTGCGAATCAGGGACCTAATGCTGTGTTACTGTGTGTGTGTGTGTGTGTGTGTGTGTGTGTGTGTGCGCGCATACGTGAGTTTGGTGTTTGTGTGTGTTATACTCAGGTCCCCCGCCATGACAGAATCCCATTAGCTGAGCCAATCAGCAGTTTTAACCTGGTTTCCTAGGTTACGGCCTTCTCAGTCACTCCCAGTAGACAAACATCATTCTGTCCCCTAGTATGTGTGTGTATGTGTGTGTGTTCATGTTGATGTCTGCCCTTCTTCTGTGTGTGTGTGTTTGTATGATGCACAATTATTCCAAAATTTCAGTATAAAAAAGTATGAAAATATGTCTTGTTTTCATTACTTACTATTAAGCTAGTTAAGCTTAACTAATCTGACAAGTGAATCACAACATAACATAATAAAATGTTACCAATAACTAAAAGATAATACAAAACCTATCACCTAAAATTGCATTTATGTCAGCTTTATTTTTTTCCTACACCAACAAACATTGCAGTGCATTTTGATTATGTCTTATTAACTTTTGGGCTTTCCTGCAGAGTGGAGAACTGTATGCGGCAGCAATACGATATTAATAAGTTATTATACAGGAAGAAGACAAAGATGGTGTAGAGGCAAGTTCACAACATCATCAACAAAGAGTGACTTAACGCTAGGCTGAAACGTGGTGTTTCACTGCCCTCTCTTGTTAAACGTTTCGCCTCTGACAACACCCACCTATACCATTGGGTGCTGTCAGAAGTGTGCTCTGTTGTACCTGTATCCACACCCAACAGTAATACCACAGGGTCATGAAGTACACTTGTACATCACTGCAGCAAGGTGAGAAGGTAAACCACAAGATGTCAGCAAAAGCAAGATGTTCAGGAGGTGCTAGTTTACTGTTTAATTAAAAAATTATGTCCTGTAGCAATTCCATTCATGTTGTCTTATGTAGTCATCTGTACACTGATGGCATTAAAATGTTATTAGCTGCAGTACTCACCCTCAGGTCTGTACTGTGCTACTATAGTAACGGTCTGTCCTGCATTCTTCAGAGCTGCGGCTGCCTGCTCATGTGTTGCACTGGACAGGTCCACACCGTTCACCTAAACACACACACACAAAATTACAAACCATGCAGTGAATCAATAGCAATGCATGTATAGTGAGATGAGCACACCATTAGGAACACTGCACAGCTTGGGTTTTGGGTTTTGGGTCAATAACTGACAAGTGACCATTTGCGTGTAGTATGTGTGTACTTGTGTGAAAGCTTGTTTAATGCATAAAATCATTCACTGTGTCATAGGGCTGAGCCCGAATAGTTGAAGATTCGATGCTTCGATGGGCGGAGCCTGATTCGACTGTCAATCTCACAGTCGAAACTTTGCTGCGAAACAAGGATCATGCCATTTTGCTGGCTTGGGGGTGCTCAGTGTCTGATTTTACATAGAACTACCAGTTTTCTCCCAAATTTCAATTTATAATGCTGTAAATAAAACAAATGAGAAAAGAAAAAAAGCTTTTAATAAATGTTTGCATTGTAACCCTAACCCTCAAGTAGGGGGAGATCAGTGCGCATGTGTAGGCATAGCGTGTATGTGTGTGAGTGTGTGAGTAGGTAGTGTAGTGGCAGAAGAGGAACTTGCTGTAGAGACGGAGCCTTAACTTCACCGTTGTTGTGCAGAGTTGTCCGCACCTCGCGGGATGATCGGAACATTTATCACCATTGATGAACCACAAAAAGAATATTACATCGTTTTTAAATAGTACTTGAAATAGATCCGCGAGGAACCGCGACGTGCATGCAGCTGTCGGCCGCACGGCATGCATGCAAAACTCTGCACAAGACCGGGGAATAGGAGGCGAGCAGAGAAAAAACGGTCAACAATAAGACTCAGTTGAACTCGCAATCGCCGCATACAAACATGGTACATGATTTGACTATCAGTCGACTATAGGCAAGACTTGACAATTCGGATACGACTATGTTAATCGGTTTGTCAGGGACAGCCCTACCATGTCAGCACTTATATCATAATACAGTCAGTCCCTCCACAGTTTGACTAAATCCTGTTTGAATACTGTCAGTAGAAAATTTAAGCCATATTTCACTTTAGTGGCAGACAAAATACAGCTTTAACACACACACACATACACACGCCCTATCAGCTTTTACTGGTGATTAACTAATTATTAATGTTCAAAGAAAATGATGCCAGTTATATGAAATATCTCTTTAAATTTAGATTCCTGTAGACACTATGAATGAGTGCAAAGATGCATCAGAACAAGTTCAAAATATTCAGCAAAATTGCTTTTTCTTTGCTTTGCTTATGGTATTCTGAGTTGTATGACTCCACATAAAAAATGTACTGGATGACTCCTTTGTTAAGCCTATATATCCTATACAGTAAGAATAGTAGAATTTGTGTTATTTGTAATCAATGGTGACAGTACTTTTGTTTTATATCTGTGTATTCTGTTTGTAAAAGGTCTTAACTCATACCGAAAGGATGCGGTCTCCCTTTTGTAGCTCCCCACAGAGATCAGCTGGACCTCCAGCCAGAATGAAGGAGATGAAGATTCCCTCTCCATCTTCCCCTCCAACAATGTTGAAACCAAGACCTGTGGATCCCCGCTGGAGCACCACCCGCCTGGGATCCCTGGAAGAATCACGATTTAAACACACACACTGTATTAGGGTGAAAGATAATAGTATCATACCTTTTTTTAACTATATATATATATATTACCCGTTTTGTTATCTTAAAGGTTAGTGCGTAAGTTTTAATGGTATCTAGTGGTGAGGGTTCTGAATAGTAGTGTCGTAGTCAAGACCGCCCAAACCGAGACCAAGTCAAGACCAAGACCAGAGTTTATCGAGACTGAGACAAGACCAAGACTTTTAGGGGCTGAGAGCAGTCGAGACCAAGACCGAGGGAGGGTGAGACCGAGTCAAGACCAACACCAGTTCCCTGCATTGCATGGCACACAATAAAATGCGGAACGAGATCATTGGTACTTCACAAATTAATCTGAAAGATCCACATTCCCATTAAAACACCCACATACAAACACTAAGATCTGAAATCAACGTAAGCATCGCAGGAAGGGGTGACAGTCGTTAAAGGTAACAACACATATTTAATTAGGGTTATTGGTTGCATTTGAAGCAACACGTTTTACTTCCAAAGTTCCGATGTTAACAAATAAATCAGACAATGCAAAAGCAATTTATTGATCCCAAAGTTGCGGTCTTGACTGGTCTTGAAATAAAATCCCGAGTCCTTAATGTCCGAGACCGAGACAAGACCAAGACCATCAAAAAGTGGTCTTAAGACCATGACCGGTCTCGAGTACTACAACACTACCAAATTGTACCAGTGGCTCGCAGTGCATTCATGTGCTCCTCGGATGGGTCCATTTCCCGAGTTGTGAAGTTGTCGACTTCAGTGTGTGTTCATGTGCTTTTACATCGGAATGTGGAATCAACATGGACTACTACAAACAATTGTTGGATTAGCATAATCAGAGCATATAAACAACAGCCAGACTAATATACTCTACATGGCCAGCAAACTAACTGTTATAACCATATTGAAAATTACATGTTTGTAAAAAATGTATATGCATAAATCAAAGTTCTGTATACTTCTTTATGTCCCATGTACACATTATTTCTCTTTTTGCAATAAAGACTTAAGGAGGAAAAAAAGATTCTTATTATTCCAACACCACATGAATGCACTGCTTACCCCTCCCTTTCCAAGCGTGCAGGAGAAGCTACGGTGGCGTCACGCTCTGTCGGCTCTCGTGCTAAATAGTATGTGTGGGCCTCCATTTGTCCAGATTTCTCTTCTTTTCTTACTTCTAATGAACTGGTCGACTACTACTACAACAACTACTTATGTGACATGTTTTTCGTACGTATTCAACACATTCACCCATTTGTCTCTTTAGGCTTCTGTAGAAACATGGCAGCGCAACATGACAAAGGACATGTGGCGTGTGTAGATTGGAATGGCTCATTTTAAGGTAAAAAAAACATGACTGTTCATTATGTAGAGTCTTTATACACCGTTGAAAACATAGTTATGGATATTATATTGCATTTCTGTCAATATATCATCCTAAATATTACACAATGAACCTTAAATGCATGGTGACATTTGGTCAATCAATTATGACTCAGATAGCATAGTTCAAGTTTAGCTGCTGTTTAGTTGTAAAACCTGCTTAATCACAGTCTTAGAACCAGTGACAAGAAGAAGTGAGAGATGACAAGAGGAAGACAGGATGAGAAGTTAAATAAATTAATATTTTATACTTACAACATGAATACAAATGAACATTAAAACATTGCAACGGTAGCATTTACTGTAGTGTATATATTCTGATGATTTCTGAATGTATAATATCTGTAATACAATATTGTGTAGTGATCAATGGTGCATCTCAGTTGGAGGTGAGTCGATTTAAAATTAGTATCATTCACCACAATGACCAGCAGATGTCAGTATTGCACTGCCTCTGTTTGTTGCACCACCACAGTTAGTTACTCTGTCCTAAACACATACTCAGTCTAGTAAGTGGGTCGATTCTTTAGTAAATCAGCATAACCTGAATGTCTTTCAACAGAGGTAGAGATCAAGAGCACATGCAGAAATCCAAGCCAACACATGCAAGTACATTATTAAGACGGAACTGAAAGCAGGTTCATCTTATTGTGAGAAGACCACTAGACCATCATGTGAACCTCACTTAAAATACTGGATGAAAACATTCACAATTAGTCTTAGTGAGTTATCAGGATATGTAGAAAAATGCTCAGCCAATTTATACGAATATGCAAAATTTGGATTTGGTCCCTTCATCTTCTCTGAATGAAATGGTTCAAACCAGGGATGCACCAATCCAAAACAGCTGGATCAGTGTCCGAACGTGAGAGATCCATATTTACCACAGTTTCTTTGTCGACATCATACAAATTACATTACATTCAACTACCAGTTACATTCATTAAGGTGGGCTGGCAACTCAGTTTTTAATGCACACAACTATCTCTGGCCTCATGTAATCTTACATTACAATGATTGCAATGAGTTCCGTACAGTGTAGTAAATTAAACAGATATTCCAATTGGGAAAACGAGAGAACAGGTGATGGATTTTGACAGATAACCTGAGTTAAGGTATTGGTGACACAAATTAATAAATTGTGACATATTTCACTTGCTTAGAGAGGAAGAAGATGTTCATCAATTGTGCACACTCAGTGCACATTTATTAGAACCCATAATCCTATATTTGCATGAGAAAATAATCGGAGAGCAAAAGAAAAAGAGATGAAAGAGAGAATAAAGGAGGATTCAAACCCAGAGGAAAAAAGAAGAAGGGCAGACATCAACATGACCATTCTGCTGTCAGTCTGAGGCTTATCAGATTTATTATAATCAAAGCGCACTGATTGGCCCAAAGGGTTGTGACGAAATGAGTCATATTCTGGTAACCATGGTGACGCCAGCTGAGTGACGAGGGCTGTGATAGGCTGTAATCCGTCCATTAAAATGGATTAAAGACAGTAGAGCAGCACTGAGAACGTGTGTGCATGTGTGTATGTGCTTGTACATGTGTGACCTGAGTTTACACGGCAGACAAAATTCGCACTGCCATCTGCCTTTTACTGCCAAACACACACACACACACACACACACACATACACACACACACAGAGCAGCACATCGAGCAGACGGGGACAGAGGTCACTCAGTGGGCTCTCTAGGTCTGTTTCCCAAGCTGCTGTCGTGGATCACTTTGAGGGCCACTTAAGACCTCTGAGGGGGACATGAGGCAAGTAAGAAAGGAAAGAGCCAAGAAGATAAAGAGAAGATTGACATTTCTGATTCAACACAAATAAGAAGCTGCAAAATTTGAATTTTATCATTGTAAATTAATGCAGAAATTTCTTTGGTTGACAAACCAAAGAAAAATGTGCAATAAGGAATGATATACATGCATCACATTTTAACATTTTAAACAAATAACGGTGTGACACTGACCTAATCAGCCAGAAAAGTTTTCTTACACATAGCTACTATAAATCTTAATTAGAGTTGATATATCAAATATTATCAAATGCATTTACCATTTGGGGACCAATTGCTGAAATTAAATTCCCTGTTTAGTAGTAAAATGGAAACAATAACAAGACACCAAACAGCTTTTAACGTTAATACTAACTTCTTACTAGACTAGACTAACCTAATTAAAATAACATTTTCAAAACCATACTACAATGTCTATATTTGTATTGACATTTCAATTTCTATATCTGCTAGTTCCACCATATTTTTGAAACTACAGTATTTGATGTTTATATTGAAAAAAGGTCCTAATGGAAACAGATTTCTAGATATGCAAATTTTTTATACACATTAATTTCCTATATGCATGTAGTTCAACCCAACATATTTGGTTGTCTTTGGAAAGCCTAAGTGGAATTACAAAAATAATTACATAATGAATTTATTTGGTTGGGCAACGTTTTATTTGGGCTGACTGCTCAGTTATGGTTAGGGTAGGATTTAACAGAAAGATGTTTCTAGTCCGAATCAGAGAAACATCCTTTGTTAGTACTGTCCCATAAACATGGACATGTCTGTGTGTGAGGTCTCACCTGGTGACGTCGTCGTCTCCAGTCATGGCCCTTGGCAGCGGTGAGTATCTGGGTGTTGTTAGTGGTGCAGGGCTTACAGACTGGCTGCCGCTCATGTAGGGGCTTATATGGTTGTCTTGATGTGGGGAGTACGCTGCAGGGAGACAGACTTATTTTACCTAGTGTCATACATAAGAGATCATGTCATTTAAAGGCTGAATGGGTACTTTCATGTACTTTTAGCATGGTTCCTAATTTGATACATCATCATCCCACATCTTGCTATGATTAAATAGTACATTTCCACTCCAAAATGTATTATCTAATCAATCACAGTTCATACTGTATCTTTGTTGAATCAGGCAGAGCAGAGAGAAAATGGTCAACAATAAGCCTCAGTTTAGCTGTAAATGTACAGAATAAGTTACAGTGACTAATGAACTGCAGCTCTGCACCTTCTCAAGATTAAAGCGGAGCTACCGTGTGTAAAACCCCCCTCTCCGACACACACACACACAGATTCGACTATCACTCGACTATAGGCAATCCTTGACAATTCTGATTCAACTATGTAAATCCTATGATTTAAAGAGGTCATATATGTTGTTTGATAATATGCTGATTTGGAAAAGTGACAAGTGGCTGTAATTCAGTGGACTAAATTTACCCTGTCTGATTATCAGACTGTTACATAACACATTTAAAACTGTCATTGATGTCATCCCTATATCTTTTAAACCTTAACATATTATGTTTCTAACCAACTTAAAGTGGTTTAAAAACTATCTGGCATTATAATAAGGGAGACTGAACACATTATGATCAGGGTCATCTAGGTGATTATTTATTCATGTATTCAAATAAAACTCTTTTAGATAACTTCTGGACTGTCATCTTAATTGTGTCAACCACTAGTAAAATGTATGCGGAGTAATACAATTTTATGGCTTTTTACCATGAAAAAAACAGTCCCTTATGGCAAGGTCTAATAACCACTTCACTAAGAGCAATAAATGCTATTACAGTCTGAAAAGAATTTAATAGAGAAAAGTCCCTCACTTCTATGCTGATGACTTGCAACAATATTTTTCAGACACAGTTTGGGGTGAGCTTTGCAATGTCAACATCTGATTCAACCATGACTGATCAGCGCCTTGATTCGTGTGAGGGTCTTTCCCATCACCACTGACAAAACCACGGCCATTTGAAATACTAATTACGAAAAGCAATTCATGCCACCCCCTTACTTGAACCTGGGGTAAAACTCATGAGACATGTGTTTGTCAGTATCTATCAGCAATGTTGCCTTGATTGGTTGCTTGTATTGATGGTGGTTTGGTGATTCAAGCTTACTGTGCTGTTGTTGTTCTTGTAAGAATCTCTGCAAAAGGCATCAGAGTAGATAGGTGCATTTTATACACTGTCCTGAGCAGAAATCTCCACCAATAGCTTTGTTCCTTGCTGTTCTTTAAAGTTCAACACCATCTGGCCTCTTGGCTGCAATGATGTGTGCTACATTCACTAGAGGACTGTTTCACTGCAAGTTGATTCTGATGTGAAAAAAGTGAGAACCTACAAACTAATGTTATGAAATAAACCATGAGCAAAACTGTTGCATTATGGGTAAGTCTCAGGAGTGGTGTATGTACTCACAATTAGTGACGTCGGGTGGGGGGAAGTTGTCATTGATAAAAAGGGAGGTGTGTTTGGCCACACGGAGGTAAACAACGTCAGGAGTCGATTTCAGGGCAGCCACTGCCTCCTCATGAGTTACCTCCTCCAAACAGGAGGCATTCACCTGGAGACACATGAAGACACATACTGTACTTCCATGTGCAGGCATGTATAAATAATATGTTGACAACATTATGTCCACTGCAACACCACACCAGACTGCAACAAAAACATACAGTGTGTTGCTGTGTTAAATCACGTTTACAGGCTTGGAAGTAGAACAGAAGAGAACAATCTGATACAATCATACCCATGTACACTGTCCTTCTCTAATATACCTAATTTAGTCTTAGAATATAACATACCCTGCAGGTAATATGTAAGAATCTAATAAAGGGGGGTAATGGAGAGTATAAAGTCATCCTAAATTCCGTGACTGTACTGTGGAATAGTTATATTTCTGGTTTTATTAAGGGAAAAAAATTTCATATTTGATTTCACTAATGGATATTTATGACATGTAAATTCAATAAAAGCAATTCATAGCATGTAGTATTTGGTGCTATTAATAACGTTAAGGGATATTCATTATCTACTGTATAATGGGCTAATAAACCTGAATTCATTCTAATCTGAATCTGAAAGTTGTTCAAGGAAACAACCCCTGTATTGCGTTTCATTTAAAATTGTACTTTGAACCAATAAAACTAAGTTTGCATTGATGTTGACTATAATCTGCATACTAGACTCTACAACATTTGCATGATAACAAGTGCACAGAAGAGAGAAAGAAAGAACGAAAAGGGACAAAAAAAGAAAATAATAGAAAGGTGTTTCTTACAGCTACAAGTTTGTCCCCTATCTGTAGCCGTCCGTCTTTGTGTGCAGCCCCTCCCTCGATGATCTTAGTCACGTAGATACCGTTGTCCCCTGGGACATGTTGGTTTCCAACTCCACCTGCTATACTGAATCCTAAACCTGAGAGAAAACATGAGGAGGTCATATTTTTGATATTTCCTGAGGATGTTCTTACTGTGGCAAAGTTTTGACATTTAGTTTTGTATGTGATACAGAACAGATAGTGTAGTAAATGCGTAATCAAATTAGGTAAACCAGACCCTCTTAAATATTCAATATTTCATTCCTTTAATTGCTGTCATATTACTTTTTTTTACTTTTTTGCTGTAAAACACACTGTCTTTTCAGCAGAAATTGTGCCTCATCATGCTTTCTCACTTTTGAGTTCCAACTGATGTCTTTATTTCCTCATTTCTTTATCATTTATCATCTTTATCATCAGTAAGTAGTAGATAAGGATATCAACATCCTCAAACAACACTAAAGCTGAAAGGCATAACTTTAAAGTCAGTTTAATTCCAAATACAATGTGCTGCAGTAAAGTCTGTGTTTTACTACTTACAGACCCCACTGTATGTTCTGTTTACCTTTGTAGTATTGTCTCACCTTTGGGCCCTTTGACCAGCTTGATATCCATGATTCTCTCGGTGAGGCTCCTCCTGCGTCGTATACATAGTCTCACCAGACCCCCTGCATCTTTCAGGGCCTCCACAGCCCCGCTATGGGTCACCTCCCTGACGTCTGCCTCATTTACCCGGACTATACAGTCATTTACTCTGCACAGCAAAGTTACATACAGTAAAGAAGTTATTTGATTTGCATAAGGAGTACATAGTGAAGTCAAAGGATACATATCACCTCCTAAACTCAAGTGTCTTTCACTTTGAAACTAGAAGTCTTGTTGGGAGAAAGCAAATAATATTTTAGTTGTTTGAATTATTATTTAACTTCTTTCCTTTTTAATGTGAAATTAAGGTAAAGAACGTTGACTGAGCACATTTTCTCTTTTTCTGACATGCTTCGTACAGTTCACTCATTTGTATGAAATTCCTGGCGGTTTCAAGTGAGGACAGGAAAGGCATCAAGCTGGAGAGGAGCGAGAGGAATCTCAGGCCAAGGCAGTTTTATTGAGTTTTATTTTGCTTCTGTTGAGTTTAAATCAACTATGTTTTATGATGTTTTAACAAGACAATTAAGCTAGTCTTATGTCAGTAAAACAGATAAATCAGAAGGTCGACAGCTGTATTTTTTCTGTTTAATAAGGAAAACAGGTATAAGAATATTTCGCATTTTGTGAATATATTTTGTTTATTTATTAGACTAAAAAAGATAAAATAGCAATTATATAGTGTTCTGAACTCATTGCTCTCACAAATCTCCCAGCTGAAGGGTGCGACAGCGCTATGCTATCGTACTATTGCTTCTTGAAGTACAAAGTGGTATTACAAGACAGGGTGAGCCAGGGCTGGCTGGTTAGCATACACAGACGTCTTTGACATAAGGCCAGAACTGTTACTGCACTGCATTATGTTGATAATTTGTTGAATGTTTTAAACAAAAATGATTGCCAAATATTACACATTGTACCTTTAGGGTTTTGGTTAAGGTTAGAATTAGAAACGGGGAAGGGTAATGGTTGGGGTTATGTAGCAGTTATGGTACAAGTACGTTTAATGGTAAATAATGTAAGTCAACAATTCCTCCTCTCAATTAACAAAAACAAGTGTCATTGTTTGTATCCTTTTTCATCAAAACATATACATACGCAAATGCTTTGAACATATGTATATGTGGATGCATGCGTGTTTATACGCACACATGTTTACTAAAAGTACACAAACATACAAGTGTGTGGTATTTCAACGACTGTTTTCATAGTGTGTGCGAGTATAGGTGTACCTGAGTCGTCCATTCTGGGCTGCGGCTCCTCCAGGTATAATCTTGGTGATGAAGATAGAGGGGTCTTCACCAATGTGTGGGTTATCAGTCCCTCCCGCGATACTGAATCCCAGGCCTGAGTTACCCTACACATGCACACAGAAACAAAATGTGATTTAAGGAGAAAATAAACAATCTGAACATACATACTGAAGAAAATGTCTGATGATTGCTCCACGTATCTGCCCTGCCTCGAATTAATCATATTATTTATTTACATTAAAAAATTTATATAAATAATATACAGAATTCTTAGTATGTTTTTTAACATTAACTAAACATTATAATGGATTATAACCAAAAAAACCTAGGTCATTTATAAAAAGCCGATAACCACACTGAAACAATTATGAACACAAGAAAACAAAATCTCACACATCATTACCACTTTTAACACTGCACCTAATATATTACCTCTCTAAAACTTACTAATCACCAAGAAGCATCTATTAAACATTAAATCTTATCAAAAAGTCATATTCATTCAAAACTACATCTGATATCACTTCTTACAAAAGTAGTTTATCACCAGAATAAACGATATGTCATAGGAGTCTCTCCAGATATCACTTATTACCAAATTATACACAATAGATCGCCTCTGACAATGGAACACACTACCAAGATGACAGCCCTTGCTCTGTGCATGTTTCTCTCACTCTATCATGCTTTGCCACCGGGTTTAAACCTAGTGTAATGTCTGTGCCTGTGTTTGCGTGTATGGCCGTAGTGTCTTTAAAGCAGATCCCGTCAAGCAGACAGAACCAGGTCACAGGAGAATAGAGAGAGAGAAACGGAGAGAGAGCCTCGGGGAGAGAGAAAGGGGAATATAATGAGGGAGGGGGGATCAGGAAAAGAAAGAAAGTAGGGAATGGATGGACGAGGAATTGAGAGGATGGGGAAATAAGGTCAGAAGAGTTATACCAGTGGTGGGACTTAGTGAAGGAAAAGCAGAATGATGAGATGAAGGAGAGGAGAAAGATTAGAGAACAAAAAACATAGACACATACAAGTTTTAGGACAGAATCTTTTGGGTTTTAATTGTGTCTTATCTTAACACATGAAGATCAGAAAGTAACTTTTCACAACATGTAAACATGTGTAAGACCTCAACGAGGAGGTGATAGGGGTAAATAAAAAATTGTGTAAACTTGTGAGTGACCTGTAAAACCACTTGCTGTAATTTATTTTTGTTCCTTAAAATACCATTGTCATTTAACTTAGTTCGGTGAGATACAGGATTACAAATACCCTTAATTTACCTTATTTAAAATAGTAAATAGTAAAATAGTAGTGAATTATTCTAAAAAAAAAAAAAAAAAAATAACACTCAAAAAAGGCACGGTTTGCTGGATAAGCCTTGACCATTGTCTAACAATATTTACATCATTTTTACTTTACACACTGTACATCCGAGTGGCTAAAATATTAATGGGCTCTAGTTTTGGTTTGACATTTTTTTGTTAACTTTAGAACTGTAAAAAGCATCAAATCTAGACGGCTCACTCAGATGTATACAAATTAAGTGTTCAATCAATCAATGTGCATCTTAACTTCTCTCAGAACAAATATTTTGGTCTTTTCATACCTTATCAGCTTTTGTTATTTTTGTTCCAGCATTTCTTCTGCTTTCAAATAGACAGGCACTCAAAATCATTTCTGCTCTTGACAGCACTAATGATGTTTTCAGCCAGATTATGTGTTTGTGGGAAGAGCAGGGTCAGGCTGAACAGATGGAGATGTCAATGAGGTGCTGATGTCACTGAGGACATTTACAGTTTGTATAATAGGAATTCATGTTGGCGGTGTGTTTTCATTGAAAGTTTTTACCCGCTCCAGTGTAATTTCCTCATACTCATAGTCTGCTTCTGTTCCATTGACCTGTCAGAGAGGAAGAAAACAGAGGCGTGTCAATTAAGAGTAAATTCTAAGAGCTGTTTTCCTGTAATGGATACTAAAATGCTCATTTGACTTTACGGTAAAGCTTCTGACATTCATAATTTATATGCAGTGTTTTTATCTGTGTTATGTCAGTTACATGACCCTGTTAAGTTGCATTAAACCTTCAAGTTTACCACAGCGTTATCATATTCTCACTGTTTCTGCATGACTTGAATGTATGGATTGAATATTTTGTGCCAGTATGTATGCAATCACATATCAGCAGTACTGGAGTAAGTAATCAACCTTTTATAATACTTGCATGCAAAGAATCTTGATTTGTAAAGTAACTAGTATCTTAAGCTCTCAAGCAAATGTAGTGCAGTAAAAATATTTCCCTCTGAATTGTAGTGGAGTAGATATAGCATGTGGCATGAGATTAAAATACTCAAGTGAAGTACAAGCACCTCAAATTTGTACTTATCATGCCTATATGCCTATCAGTGTTCAGAAGTTGAATATTTTTTCCAGTTTCCAATTTAGACATTTGATATTTCATGAATGACGCATGAATCCCAGAGATTAAACTAGTAATGCGTACTTAATGATGATGTATCTCTGATGTCATATTTAAGAACATCCCTGATGAATAACCCATGAGACAATAAGAGTGCTCAGCCAGGACTGTCTGTGCTATAAAATATATTAATGTCTATATTTCCTGACTGAATGAATAGCACACGGAACTAAATCCGATCTGCGTGGACTATTATATATTTTGTGTTCCTCTCTGTTTTACTGGGAGATGAGTGTCTTGGTCCTGCCATAGCTGCTGCATGCAGGCAGGGTGGCGCACACACACACACACAGACACACAGACACACAGACACACACACACACAGACACACACACACACACACACACACACACACACACACACACACACACACACACACACACACACACACACACACACAGACACACACACACACACACACACACACACACACACACACACACACACACACACACACAGACACACACACACACACACACACACACACACACACACACACACACACACACACACACAGTGGTCGAGTGGCATCCTAATGGCCCATGTAATCCCCTTGGCTGTAATCTGTGTCTCTGTGCAGTCAGATTAGTTTAGATTTTGAATTTCTGTCATTTCAAACAGGAGGCACAATCATCCACCATGTGCAGTGTGTCTGCTATCACCTACTATACAGTCTGAACATCAGATTATTCTTGAAAAACAGGGGACAATAACTCACTGCCATTCTTAAAATGTTAAATTTATTTTTGTGATAGGTCCTGTTTAACAGAGCCCATTTATAATTTAAATAAAGCATGATAAAATGAACTAAGGTGCAGCCCTTATTTCCTATAGGCGCAATAGGTAGAAACGGCCTTGTGCACCTGCAGTGCATTAAAATTTATTTTCCTATTTAAAAAAGGGTCCCCCCTCTATTCGCTTTGAAAAGAGTCATAAGCAATGAAAGTACGGTGTTTTTTGGTATTTGTTGCATACATTAATCACATTTGTTGGAATGAAAATAACAGTCAACAATTATATCTGTGAAATATTAAGTGAAATCTGCATGATAGAAATCTTTTTCTCTCTCTCTGTGTATTCCAGGTGGTTCAGCAGGGAGTAATTCCACATTAATTACATAATAAACTTATCTAACAACAACAGACAGTGATTCTCTGTGGCAGCTGGCTACCAGTAAAATGACATCTGGATCCATCTAATTCTGGACTGAGATTTTTGTCTAACATGAAAAGGCCAAAAGAACAAACGTGCTTTCACTATTGCACATTTTTATGGGGGAGAAATATGGAAATTACTGAACATTTCTAGTAGAAGTTCCAAAAAGTTCTGCAAGTCTTTATACAGTAAAATAACTCTTGATATGACAATTTTTATGTCTGGTGAAGGATTATATATTTAGTACAAGATTAGAAATATATTTATTACACAAAAACTGTAGCTAAACATCAATGTAATCTACAATAGAAACCACAAGATCTGTGATTGCTCTGCATGTGCTGGTTTATTTTTCTCCCATATGCTTCCAGTGATCATAGTGTTTGTTAATATTAACATAGATCAGCTTCACCTCCTCCTCACTCTGTATTCCAAAGTGAGTAAGAGACACTTCAGATATATAAGGAATGGACAATGCTTGATAACGCACACCACATTCATCTGCCATAAATCCCTACACTAGAGACATCCACACTGTAACTGGTCAAGCTTAAGGACAGACACGTCAGGAAAAAACATTGTTTGTTTCATGCACTGGTCAATTTTGAGATTTTGGGGTATTTTAAATAACATATCTTCTTTCAGACTAATGGAAACAAAATGTCCAAAATAAACATTTGAAAGAGTATGTGTTTGCGTGTGTGTTCAGTAAGGCCTTACGTTGCAGTTATCAGTTTTGATGTGTTTTAGATGTTCTATATTATTGTTGCTAAGGATTGGATTAGATATTGTTAGATATTGTTTGTAAATGGTGGTTTCCATTTTTTTTTACATAGCATTTAAAGGTTGTTTTCTCAAATTTTGTTTTTTTTTTCTCACACTTTTTACTGAGGGGATTTTTCATATATAATTCATAGCCTCATTTATATAACATTTTTTTCAGAAAAACTGTATTTTCTGATTTATGGAGTGATAAAAAGAGATATCCATAATTCCCTGTGTAAAAACCTTTGACTCCAATATATCAACAAAATGAAACAATTTTGAATTTGGCTTCATCCAAAGTACATTTCTCTGGTCTGGAAATGTGTGCATATTTAATTAGATAATATATAATTAACATATTTAAACACATTTCAGAAAACTTTTAATACAAAAAAGTACTGTCTCACTGTCTTAATGTCTTAATGTTATCAACTGGGTTGATGTATTAATGTTATCAACTGGGTTTCATGGTTATATCTATTAGTTAATTTTTTTTTACCCCATTTACCTGCAGTGTCTTGCCTTCAACAGTCATTTACTGGTGTGTTCATTTTGATGCTGCATGAGCAAATCTCTATGTTTTATGTTACATTCTCAATGTTCACCTATGCTACAAACAGGGGCCAGTTCCAGCCACCGGCGGTCAAAAAATAATGTTCAGTGGTCCATACACAACCACTGATTTGTAATTAATTGTTTATCATTATCAGGGTGCAAAGTACACAGCAGAGTAGAGGTTTAAATTTGTTACTACTGAAAATATATATTTGAACAGGTACTCACATATGGGGGGGTGTCGACACTGTCGGTGTTGACCACCACTGGAGGGGGGTTGGCCTGCAAGAGAGAACAGCACAGAACAGAAGTTATTAAACACTTTTAATTTTAAGGATATTATCATGAAACCGAAGGCATACAGTATTTCACCAAGAATGCTGATGATTTTTTTAGTATGAAACATCAGAAACACAAATATGCAGGGATGTGAGAAAATGACTTACTTGTCTCATGTTTTGGTACAGCATGTTTAGTACATCTGTTATAGATTACCACCACGGAGCGTCTGCATACACAGCATGACATACTGCAAAGCACTTATATTGGACAATACTAATATACTACACTGTAACAGACTGTTTTATCTAGCTCTGTTACTGTGCCATAAAGTACTTTTAGCAATTGAGTACTGCATCACAATACCCTCTACTTTTACATTTTACTCTAATAGTCTGTAGGATATTGTACTCTACTACGCTGTACTATTCTGTCCTATTGTATGCCAACTGCATTATGGCCTGGTTCAGTCCAGCGTAGCACAACTAGGGTTAGAGCAGCAGCAGATGATTGACATTATGTTTTCTCTTGCTTCCTACACAAGCACAGCAAATGGCAAACCACAAACTAGCTAATAAATAGCCACAAGGTGTCCTGTTCTTCTTGTATTTGCATTGGCCCCCATCATATCATTCCACCTTGTTGCCTCCTGCCTCCACTTTTTCCCTTGTATCCTCTCACTTTCTCCACAGAAATTATTTAATGTTCGCCAATGCGGCGTCTGTAGCTCTAGTCTTTTCCAACAAACCAGTCTGTGTAAGATAATCTGATACTCCAGCTCCTGTTCTGCAGCCAAAAAAAGTCCACAATCGAACCAGCTAACCAAGCATCAAATAAGTTAGCCAACCAAATGGACATTCCACCCAGACTTCACTTCACGGCATCAATGTGCAACAGAGCAGCAATAGCATCTATCCCTCTACACTAATCTCTACCTCTCTCAGCCCCCCTTTTCCAGTGCTTTATCTTGTCACTCTCTTTCTAACACACACGCACACACACACACACACACACACACACACACACACAAATATATCATCTCACTCCATGTCTCTCTCTCTCTCTCCACCACATGTCAAACTGTCTGTCAGTCAAGCTGACAGGATGCTTGATCCCGCATGGGAACAGACAGAGAGGGGCGGTGGGGGATCAGAGGGATTATATGGTGGGAGGAGTCAGATCTGCCTGCTCAACAACAGCACTGAAGAGCAGAGGGTGCTCATACACAAACATCCCAAAACAAAAAACACTAGTAAATAAAGAACCAAAATTAAAAATTGGTGATTGTGAGAGAGGGAATCTATGTATCAAATCTACGTACCAAACATCATATTGTTTTTTCGTACTTTCAATTTTATGCTTAAAAAAAACAAACAAACAAAAAAAAAAAACGGGCCATGAAACAAATTTGATTTTGACATTTGATGTCTCTGATTTGTGTGACTATTAAGTCTATTGACAGTTATTTACTCCATTGTTTGTTGCACTTGATGGCCTACCTTTTTAATGTAATGAATATGAGCTTGAACCTCAATGTGTTTAAAATTGTCTTGTTAAAAGCCCAAAACACTAACAACACTTATATTGACACTCACATATTTAGTACTTTTAATTAGGTACAGACATCTCCCAAGTATATCTGCAGCACATTTATCCGATTTTGGATTCCAGATTGAATATAAAAAGAACATATGACACACAGATTGAAGGAGATGGAGGGGGTTGGGGTAGTAATATAGTAGGGTTCATGGATATTGAGAAGACAGAAAGGGATCGTGCTGGCAGTTGCAGCTGTTAGGATCTCTGCGTTTGTGTGTGTGTGTGTGTGTTGATGTGAATGAAGGGGACAAAGAGAGAATTACAAGGGGAGGGTAAGGATGATCACTGTGTAATTATATTCTGTATAAAGCAGTTACTGTCACAAATATTCTGATGTCCTGACTCCAAGACACATTACAATACTACAGGCTCATGTATTCTTTCAACATAGGACACTGTTTAATGTGTATCAATGCACCATATTTTAAAAAGTTAAGTTTATAAAGTCATATAATTTTTATCTGCAAACTTGTGACTACTGCTTTCAGATCAATTTAGTAAAAAGTAGGAGTAAAAATGAGTAAAAAGTATAGCAGCAGATAAGTAAAATAGTACCTTCAAATTGCATTGTAGTATAGTTCTTGAGTAAATGCACTTCCATCACTGATTACAGAATGACACTGCAGATAATTTCTAGATAGGTACTGACACTCTTTGTACCTAATAGTTTAGACATCATCTGAGTGTGGCACTTAAATGTGATTTTTATCATTGTAATGAATGTCAAGGATGAAATAAAATAACATAATCAAATATAAATTGTATTTAAAAAAAAAATTGATCTGAAGTTTTTGCTTCTTATAAAATGCTGGATACTTTAACCATGTTACAAATTCAAATAAATCAATCTGATGGGGAAAACTTATGGTTCATGTGTCAACATGAACTCATTTTACACTAAACCCATAACTTGTGATAACTTGGGTAACAAGTAGATACTGCTTGTTTTAAAGAGGTATCGAGGTTCTGATCTTAACTATGTATTTTGAAGAATTACAAAGATAACCTGTAAATTCTCCACTCTGTCAATATATTTTGTCAATATAAATATAGTTTGGTGTTGTTGGTGGTGGACACCTTTATGCTACCGCCATAAAGTTGACTTACCGGTCCATTGCCTTGCCTGAGCCTAACCTCACTCCTTTACCATTGTAACAGCAACAGCACTGTACATAGCACACACCTTGTGTGTGTGTGTCTCTGTCTGTGTGTGTCATTCTGAGAGCGACAAATCCAGTGTATTAGTCAGCTGGTGATTCTATTGACACGCCATGTCAGGATGCACGCTTATGTAACGTCAGTGAGTGTGTCAATGTGTGGTCGGGGTTGTCTTATATGAAAAGGCCAAAAGAACAAACGTGCAAATACAAACAAACAAGCACTTACACAACATCCATATCCAAACAGTGATTTGTCGCTTTATGCAAGTGATTGTTAGTTGTTGTTACATAATTGTTGTTACACCAGCTGTGTTACTGTGGTATTATGGCCTGGTTCAGTCCAGTACAGCACAGCTTAGAAAGAGACCCAGAATGTCACTGGTTTGTCTGATCACACAAAAAGACAGACAAGTGCTTTCATCATATTTCTCATCTCGCTGTGCAGGATGATTGTTAAGAAATGTTTGAGTAGGTGCATATGTGTGTGTGTGTGTGTGTGTGTAGGCTGTGGGAAAGATTTTCCATCAGTGCAGGGTGCCGGGTTCAGTTTCTACACGTCATCATAATAATTCAATTATCAAGATGAATCGTGATTCAATTAACAGAAATCAAGAATCGCAAAATTACACACAGCAGCAGTTTGTTAAATAATCAATCAGCACAATGTGCCGCATTATGCCAGTAACACACTCATGCATAGAAGAACATGCAAACATACAAAGTGCAACAGGAAGTCAGTCATTTGAGATTTCATTGATAGTACAGAAAAGCCAGGGTTGAGAGGTGAAGAGTGATGAACACATTCACACACACAAATACTCCATCTTCCTAATGTGCAGTGAAATTACATTTGACTAATGAGCTAATCAGATGACTCTAATCAAATCAGAGTGGCCATGCTAACCACACTAATCAGAATGGCCATGCTAATCACGCTAATCAGACTATCACTACCTGCTGTCTCTGATCACTGTGCCAACAGCAGATGTACAGCACAAAAACTACCCAACCAGCAGATAATAAAGGCAGCTGGCATGTTGTATTCTTTTCCTCAGGTCCCTATAGTACAGTTTATACAATACAAAAGTCCTGTTACACTTGGATGGTTAAGCTCTTTTGATTATATCATTCGAGAAGTTGATATCGACCACAACCACTTTTACGCTGTTATTATTGCATTGTCATTCTGTGATGTTCATACAACTGCAGCCTTTACCTTGCAATTAATTATTTGGGTAAACCTCTCATTTACCCAAAATCCGGTTGGTCTGAGTAAAAGAAATACATTTCTTCCGTATTCTCTTTGTCCCATCATTCCTTTAGTGTCTAAAATATCTTGTATGTTGTAAGTACTGATTCCATGAGTACAGTATGTAATCAATTTGACTACATAATTTGTGTTATGTTTCTTAATATCCATGTATTCTTTCCACCTTTCAGGAATTTAAGTTCTTTTCAGATGTTTCTTTCTCCACAAAATTGTATATAATCTAATGTGCACCTTCAAAGAAGGTGCATAGATCTTTATCAGGCACCTACTTTAATGACTGACAAAGGTGTATGACCAAAATGTAGTGGCTTTTAAAATATACATATTTTGTGCTAACAATGTGAAGGAATCTACCACATTTACAAAGTTTTAGTCTTTAGACTTATTACTGCAACCTGTGTTCTATAACAGCGTGTGGATGAGAAATAATTTATCAAATGCACACATGCTGTCCTCTCCTAGAATCAGTGGCCTATTTCACCCATCAAACCTACCTGCACATTGGCCTGTATCTGTGGAAAGTGGTGTATGAGGGGCACTTGTGGGGGCATTTCCATTGAGTGTGCAGTCCATATATACGTGTCATTGGGCCAAAGCCTGCTACCAGCCTTGGCCTTGGCTTTACTCTTTGTGGGACTCTTCTTCACACTGTCCCTTAGGTTGGGAAACTTTCCTCTAGAGCCCCTGGTGGCCAGGTTGGTTGGCAGTGTATTCCATCCATATCCGCCCAGCCCTGAACATAGGGGGAGCTGTGGTGAGTGAAAAGGGTGAATAGACAGCGACTGGGAAGCGTGAGGAAGAGGAGTAGGGTAGTGTTGGTGGTGCTGGTACTGCTGGTATAACGAGTGTTGACTAGGTGAATGGAGCTGCATCTTCTGCTGTTGTTGGTGGCGGTAGATTTGATGTGTCGATTGCGAGGAAAGCAGGTGACTTGGCGAGGCCGGTGGATGGTACTGTTGTTGGTTTTGACAATG